ATCAATATGAAATAGTATGCAAGCCGGAGTCACACAACGTGACCTGTACGGTTGAGTCTATAGCTCCTCAACTAGCTTTTTGCACACGAGTCGGAACCACCTAATGTGGTTTGTACGACAGGCTAGGTGTAAATAAATACGCTCAAGTGCTACGATCACGTGAAGGCTGTGCGAAGTATCGTAAGTCACCTACGAGTCGGAACCACCTAGTGTGGTCTGTACGACACGCTGACACCTGCCTTGGATCCAAGGTGAGCATGTGGTGCGGGAGGTGAACGATCACGTGAAGGCTAGGCCCCGTCCTTTGACGGAGCACTAACACCGGAGTGCATGATAATGAGCTATAAAAACATCTCAACACAATCATACTCACTACCATCAATATACTCACATGAAGCTGGGCGTCCGCAGCGTCAAGCAACAATATATATATATATATATATAACCATACTAATGCATAATCAAACATGGAGCATTTGACATGGCATTTCAAAATATCAAATCATTTAATTAAGTTTTCTGGGAAAAATACCAAATATATATATATATATATATATATATATATATATATATATATATATATATATATATATATATACTGAAAACCAAAAGCCCATTCATTGATATATGGAAGGGTCGTAGCCCCCGAGTCTCACTTGACTGCGCTCTTCCTCTTGATAGGTCTCACCTATATGCGAAACAACTATTTACACGTTATTTTAAAACACATAACCAATACTAGGTAATAACTTATCATACGATGCTCAATTAAGGTATTTGAATATACCATCGTGATCTACTCAACCCCACGAATAACCCCATATTTTTAGAAAACTTTTCCAATGACCCACGCGTATGCCAAGGCACGGCCACATGCGCAGACATGTGCCTGGCACACTGAAGGATTCCCTAACGCCGTTAGGGAATATTCCATTAAATATTAGAATATACCGTTATTTTTACCTGAAGTCGCTAGCAGATTCCGTCAAAATTGACGGAATATTCTTCTCCTTTTTCCTTGGCTCGCTGAAGTCTGGTGCCGGCTGTCGCTGTTATCGCCGGATTCTGGAAAACTTCAAACCTTAATAACTCATCCATTTCTCAACCAAAATTCATAAAATTTGCACCAATTTGAAGCTTAGGACGAGAAGAACACATCCTTACCACTTTTTGGACCTAAAACCAACGGAATCTCACTTGAAAAATCTTGATAGTTCTGACACCCCTACAATTCGACGAACTCGAGTGTCCCAACGTCCAAATCACTCCAAAATTTACCTAGAATCCTTATAAAGTTACTTAAAGACTTCCTCTAGTCTTAAAACAGCTTAAAACACCCACGATCACATTAAAGTAAAATAGTACCTAACCGGAGATTATGGGTTCTCGGGTTTCCTAGGTCCTCACGTCCAACCAAAGCTATAGCTTGACTCCTGAGCTTGCAAGGAACCCAAAAATAACGTCCACAACCTCGATCCGTGCTAGATGAAGGCCTGATCGTACGGGTTGTACGAAAATGGAAGAAAAATTGAGAGGGAGAGAGAGAGTCAACGGGTATGTGGGTGTGTGTGGTCCGGATTGCAACCACACAACACCAACAAACAAACTTAAATTTCCAATTGGGTCCAAACATTTAGGAAATGGATCAAATTGGTCAATTCCTTAGCCCATTTCACACACTCACAACTAATGCCCAAGGGCAAAATCGTCATTCCACGCTATCGAATATAAAATATATTATATTTCGGGACGGGCTATCACACGCTTGCTTATACTTAAATATATATATAATTTCACTTGGATACATAAATTGTAAAATATAATGACATAGATTATGAAGTATTAGAACATAATACAAAAAGAAAGTTATCTATTTTCTGTCTAATTTGAGGGTCATGACCTATGAGGGTCTGGGAGGATTAGGTGGTCTAGACAAGCCCCTAGGCAGTATAGGTAGGTGTTTAAGCAGGTCTAGGCAGGCGCCTAAGCATAAGTATTTATTACATATTGTATAAAAAACGCTTGCTTATACTTAAATATACATACATACATATATATATATAATTGCACTTGGATACATAAATTTTAAAATGCAATGACATAGATTATGAAATATTAGAACATAATACAAAAAGAAAGTTATCTATTTTCTGTCTAATTTGAGGGTCATGACCTATGAGGGTTTGGGAGGATTAGGTAGGTGCCTAGGTGGTCTAGACAGGCCCCTAGGCAGTCTAGGTAGGCGCTTAAACAGGTCTAGGTAGGTGAGTAAGCAGGTCTAGGCTCTATTTCTTAATTTTCAAACATCTAAAGATTAATCGGGGCAGTGGTCGGCCATTTGGATTTCCCTTCAGGGAAAACGTTTCTGAATGCTAAAAAAGTGTTTAAAATGGTCCGTTGACTTTTTTATTTTTATAAATGAAAGGTTACAAGCCAAGAGGCATAACAGAAATGAGGAGTTTCAAATCCAAGGTACGTTGGTTATACAAAAACACTTTCAATTATTCTCAACTTTTATATCAAACCTAATTAGGGCTAGTTCGATATAGGATACTGAATCCGAAGAAAACATTTTCAAAACTGAAATCTGACGATCGATTCCGAACTGAAATTTTAGTATTACCAAATTTTGGGAATCCCGAAATGTTTTTGGTGTTTCGGAATTTCCCAAAACCGAACCTGTATCAAAATCCAAATAATCTAGATTGAAATGAAAATCATCCGAACTTGCATTAAAACTCCAAATTGAAATCAGAGACAAAATGACAGTGAATCGGTGAAGATTGAAGGTCGAGAGAGAGATAGAGTGTAACATCCCACATTGCCCCAGGGAGTGGATCATGTAAGCCTTATATGTATATTCCCATCTCTACCTAGCACAAGGCCTTTTGGGAGCTCACTGGCTTCGGGTTTCATCGAAACTTCAAAGTTAAGCGAGTTCGTGCGAGAGCAATCCCATGATGGGTGACCCATTAGGAAGTTTTCGTGTGAGTTCCCAGAAACAAAACCGTGAGGGTGTGGTCGGGGCCCAAAGCGAACAATATCGTGATACGGCGGAGTCGAGCTCGGGATGTGGAGGGGGTTCGGGCCGGGATGTGACAATTTGGTATTATAGAGCCAATCCCTAGCAGAAAGTGTGCCGACGAGGACGTCGAGCCCCTAAGGGGGGTGGATTGTAATATTCCACATCGCCCAAGGAAGTGAATCATGTAAGCCTTATATGTATATTCCCATCTCTACCTAGCACGAGGCATTTTGGGAGTTCACTAGTTTCGGGTTCAATCGGAACTCCGAAGTTAAGTGAGTTCGCGCGAGAGCAATCCCATGATGGGTGATCCACTGGAAAGTTCTCGTGCGAGTTCCCAGAAACAAAACCGTGAAGGCGTGGTTGGGGCCCAAAACGAACAATATCGTGCTACGGCGGAGTCGAGCTCAGGATATGAAGGGGGCCCGGGTCGGGATGTGACACAGAGTGAAGAGATAGTCAGACCCACGTCTTCCTCCTGACTTGGAAAAAGACTCTAAAAAAAGACTTAGAGCTAATCCCTGGCATAAAGTGTGCCGACGAGAACGTCCCCCTAAGAGGGGGTGGATTGTAACATTCCACATTGCCCGAGGGAGTGGATCCTGTAAGCCTTATATGTATATTCCCATCTCTACCTAGCATGAGGCATTTTGGGAGTTCACTGGTTTCGAGTTCAATCGGAACTCCGAAGTTAAGCGAGTTCGCGCGAGAGCAATCCCATGATGGGTGCACTGGAAAGTTCTCGTGTGAGTTCCTAGAAACAAAACCGTGAAGGCGTGGTCGGGGCCCAAAGCGAACAATATCGTGCTACGGAGGAGTCGAGCTCAGGATATGGAGGGGGCCCGGGCTGGGATGTGACACAAAGTGAAGAGATAGTCAGACCCACGTCTTCCTCTTGACTTGGAAAGAGACTCTAAAAAAAGATTTAGACTACTTGAATCTAATGAAAGACATGACACAAAACCAAGTCCAATGATGTTTTAAGATTCATATAACCAACACCACTTGATGGGATAAAGTTTTTTTTGTTCTTGGAATTGTACTTAATCGGGTACTATATGTAGTACCCCTTTTGAATACCGAGTACTTGAAAAATCTCTCCCTACGCCAAATGGGTTCCTTAATGAGAAAAAAAGGAAAAGACATTACCAAATAATTTCGTAATTACAAATCCATTTGGCTTGACATTCCCAAATAATTCATTTGGAAAATTTGATTGCATAAAATAATTCCGAACCTAATTCCTTGATTTTTTTTATTTGAAGAGATTTTAATAAAATAATTCCTTTTCTAACAATTTCATAAATTCATTGAATCCCATTTGAAGCTTTGATAAATAATCCTATAAGTTGTGTTTTGAGATGGCGCTTTACTACAATTTTGTGCACAATCATTCTTACGTAACCCTAGCGTAAATTCAGATGACACTTTATCACAATTTTGTGCGCAATCATTCTCATGTACCATAGTGCAAATTGTGCACAATCATTCTCATGTACCATAGTGCAAGTTCACTCCACCGATTTTACAGATTAAACAATTAATTATTTAACTCAATAGTTATAGTAATCATTTTTATATACCCTATTGCAAATTCGCTACATCAATTTTACCGTCTAAACATCTAACTATTTAACTCAAAAACACAATCTCTCTAACATAAATAAAAATTAAAGGCTTTGGATTCGAAACCCGTTGCTGGTATAGAAGCTAAATTTGTAATAAGAAGAAAGCTGAAATGCTTTTGTAAATCTTTCCGACCCGATAAAAGAAAGTTGAAATGCCTCTTTTAAGTCTTTCCGACTTTTGAATATAGTGAATAACCATAACTTATCACAAATTATCTTTTTTTTTTAAAAGAAACATAATAATATCATTCAGTGTTCTTTGCTTTTTACTTGAAATAGGAGATTAAAAAAAAAGGAAGAACATTGAGCCAAAAAAAATAAAAAATAAAGGAGGCAAACAAAGAAAATGGGCGTAGAACAAATGTAGTTTGAGACTGAATAAATCCAAGGCGTCAGATCCTCTGATCATTTCAATATTTTTTAGACACCCTTAAATACCATACATCCATTATCATTAAAAAAAAAAGAAAAAGAAAATCACGACTTTTATGACTCGCTAAACGTCAGAAGCAACATGATCATCATCATCTCTGCAGTTCCATCATATGAACAAACTCCTCAAAGCACACGAACCCATCCCCGTCCTTATCTACGCCGTCTATCATACGCCGGCACTCCTCTAACGTGCACCGTTCGTCCCCGATAGCCGTGAAAACCCTCAAAAGTTCCTCCGCCGATATTTTGCCGTCGTTATCCGTGTCAAATACTTCAAACGCATCCCGAAGCTCCGAGTCGGCAGCTGGACCGGACACCGGTCCGACCTGGTTCAATAAAGCCTCAAGGGTTATCGAACCGTTGCCGTCTCGGTCCACCTCGCTCAGCATCAACGTCACCTCCTCTTGACTCGGCGGGTCGTTCCCGAGCCGGCTCAGAAGCGCCTCGAGTTCTTTCCTCGACACCACTCCGTCGTTGTCCCGGTCTATAAGCTTAAACGCTTGGGCCATGTCGAGATCAGCCGAAAAATCGGACCAGTCACCCGATTTTTCGGGCAAAACGCTGGTGGGCGTGGCGATACCGCCGGCTCCGGCCCCGGGCTTGTGAATTGAGTCTGAGGAAGAGGAGGAGGAAGAATCCGTTCCGGAACCGAAAGACGGCGGATCGGAGCGGGACACGGAGGACCGGTCCTTCTTGGACCGGAAGAGGCGTTTCGGACTGAGATCTTTGGAGCTAATTTTGATGAGCTTCATGGTTGAAGATGAAAACCCAGATGGGGGAAGAAGTTGTAGAGAGAGAGAAAGGATGATGATGATGATGATGAAGGAGGAGGAGAGAGAAAGGAAGAGATGGGAAGCAGAAAGGAAGGGATGGGGGGGTTAAATGGTGGGAGTGAAGGCACTGCCATGGCAACTTCCAGGAAGCTTCGTGGGTGAACCTTTTCAATCGGCTGATTTATATATGTAATAATTACAACATTGCACTGTTCCGTTAACTTAATATCCCGCTAATTATGCCAATTTAATAGTAATAGGAAAAAAAACAAAAAATTTAATATATTCTTTTTACAACTAGTAGTGTTTGCGACAATTTTATTCTAACTCGCTAAAATCTTGCTTATCATGTGAGTCGAAATTGATACGTTGAACTAAAATAAAAAATAAAAAATTAGTGACTTATTAAAACTATTATGAAATCAAAATATGCAAACTTTCATCAAAATTAACAAAACAATTAAGTTTTATCTCATTAAGTAGATGAGTTGTATAAATTTCAGAACATCATTGCGCTCAATTTTACATCAAATCTTATGTTAATTCTAAATACACCATATCTTTTCTTATAACGCGTTTTAGAATCTTCCTCTATCTTTTTTGTTTTAAGCCTAAAAGTACATGATTACATAATTGTAATTTAAATCTTAAAAGAAGCTTTATGGAGTAACATGCTATGCACGTAATTAATTTTGACAAAAATTTTCACAAATGCAAAAGGACAATGTTTCAATCGATGACCTCTTTTTTTTGGTCGAATCGATCGATGACCTTTAAAATTGTTTTGTTTTTACATTGCGTGATGTTTACATTTTACTATCTTTATATGGGCCCGGCCCCTTTTGGTATGACTTTGGTGCTTGTTTGTTTGTTTGCTGTTGAGTTGTGTGTCTTACATTTTTATTGTAAAAGTGAGTTTTCTTTTGTACGCCCCCTTCAATTTCTTTTAATGGCAGGAGATTTTTTATTTATTTTTTTTAAGAAGACACATTTTGTTTTTTTTTTGGTAAACTGGAAATACACGAGGGCATAGCCAAAGTACCAACAGGAAAGCCCACACAGAGGACTAACAAAACCAACAATCAAAAAGACACCAAACTACTAAGTGATACAGGGTACCGGACCGGTAAACAACCTCATGTCACCCCGTATCACTCAAAGAAAACAAAACTTAATGTGGGCATGGTAAGCCATCCTTAATCAGAATATGTACGATCGAAGAAGGAGGTCTTTCGACCCAAGTATAATTGCTCATCTCCGAGTTCTTCACAGAAGCTAATTTGTCTGCCACCATATTGGCGGAACGGGGGACCCAAGACCATCTACACTGTTGGAAAGACGCCTTCAGCTGCATTGCTTTCCATAGTACTGGAAACGTTTCCCACCTGCCGTTATAAATGGAAGTACATAAGCTAGATACCACTTCTTTTGAATTTGACTCAATAATAATCTTTCTTAACTCCAAATGATTAACAAGCTTGCACCCCTCTAAAACCACCATTGCCTCAGCCTCTTCCATTCTCGAAGCCGTAATACTTTGTCTTCTGGCAGCGATAAATCTTCCATCGGAGCCTCTGATTACGATGGCAATATATCCTTTTTTCGTTATCGAATTCCAACTAGCAACAACATTTACTTTGTACCATGAGATATCAGGTGGAGACCAAACCGAGATAGTTTGAGTATCACCATTCAAACCACTTTGATTTCCTTGAGACTTTCTTGGTCCCTCTATAGCTCCATGCAATCTTTTAGTAGCCTCCAAGAACACTGCATGACCACATTTAGGGCTGGTTTGGTATTGCTGTGCTTTGAAAAAAAGCTGTTGTGAGAATAAGCGGCTGTGAAATAAATCAGCAGAGTGTTTGGTAAACTTTTTTGTAAAAGTGCTTTTGGAAAAAAAAAAAAAGTCTGATAGTGGGTCTTTTCATTAAAGGAGCACTGTAGCTCCGTGTGCTTTGAAAAAAAGCCAGTTTTCCAAAGCTACAAATAGCAGCTTCAGCTTTTTCCTTTGATTTCAGCTTATTCTCACAGCAGCTTCCAAAATAAACCATTTTTTTTTAGTTTACCAAACACCTAAAACCCTTACAGCTTTTTTTCATGGGTGCTTTTTTTTTTAAGCACCTCACTCCCAAACCACCCCTTAATCTTGTGGATTACCTGCAAAGGTGACACAATTTTCTAATTGAAAATAGCATTACATCTTTCTTTCCAAATATTCCAACAAGTAAAAGCTACTTGTGATAATATTCAGCTTTTCTCCTTTTTATTACCAAAATCAATTTGAATTAAAGAAATTAACCAATTTTCAAAAGTATCAATTACCATCCGATTCACCTTGTAATTAAGTTGGCCTCCAAACCAGACAAGTTCCACCCATGGACATCGCAATAACATATGCTCCACCAATTCATCTTCCTCTTTGCAGATGGGACAAGTTGGAGAAACAGCTACATGTCTTTTTGAAAGGTCCAATCTTGTTGCAAGAGCTCTATGGAGGATGCACCACATAAAGGATCTGACCTTCGGCAGGGCTTCCAAATATTTTTCCAAACTTGTTTGTTTATAGATGCAAGTAAAGAGGATCGGCTATGTCGAATAGGAACCTCTCTACTATGTAACCAATGATAGCCAGATTTAACTGAATATGTGCCCTTCTTCTCAAAAGGCCATATGAATTTATCATCACAAGAGGGATCTCCAATTTGTACTTCTTTTATCTGATCCATCTCCACTTGAGCAACGCAAGAGCTAATGGGTTAAAGATCCTATTCATGAGAGGATGGCCGAATTATAGATGCAACAATTTGATTCCAATTAATATTAAAAGGCTCCAAGGGATTATGATTCCCATTAGTCAAAGAAGGAGCCCATCGATCCACCCAAAGTCTTATATCTCTCCCATTCATTACCTGCCAATGAGCACCCCGAAGAAGAATCTCTCGCCCTTCTAGTAAACTTGCCCAAGCCCACGAGGCTATGCTCCCTTCCTAGCCTCGAGAAATGATGAATGCGGGAAGTATCTTGCTTTCATAAATCTAAACCATAGAGAATCAAGCTCCATCATCATTCTCCAACACTACTTTGCCAACAACGCCATTAAACTCTTGCAAATTCCTAAACCCCAACCCTCCTTCTTGCTTCGGCAAACTAATAACATCCCAGCTAACCCAATGAATTTTCTTAGCTTCATTATTCTGTCCCCACCAAAAATTAGCAAACAGAGAATCCATTTCCTTGCAAAGATGTCCAGGGAATTAAAAAATGTTCATTGGGTAAACTGGAACAGCTTGTGCATCAGCTTTAATCATAACTTCTTTACATGCATGCGACAACAATTTTTGTTTCCACCCTTGAACCTTTCTCAATACTCTATCTTTAATATACCCCCAAAGCTTGATTTTTAGACCTTCCCCAAATAGTTGGCAAACCCAAATAATTACCAGGATTATCGACAATTGGCATCCCAAGTATTTCCCCCAACTCCTCCATAACCGCCCTCGGGGTATTTGCACTAAAATAAACACTTGATTTATGTAAACTCACCTTTTGTCCCGATGAAGCACAATAAGCATTTAAGATTTTAACAATATTCCTGTCATTTTGTCGATTGGCCTGAAGAAAAATCAAGGTATCATCCGCTAAGAACATATGCGAAATGCGTGGACAACTTGAGCTAATTTTAATACCACTAAGATAATTCAAATCCACAACTTTTTGAATAAGCGAAGAGAGAACATCACTTACAAACAAAAATAGATAGAGAGATAGAGGATCCTCTTGACGAAGTCCGCGGGACGGTGGGGATTTGTTTCCAGGTTTACCATTGATTATAATAGAGAAGTCTACAGTGATCACACACTTCATAATTAAACTTAGCCATCTCCAATCAAACCCCATTTTATACATAACCTCCTCTAAGAAGTCTCATTCTACACGATCATAGGCCTTAATCATATCCAGCTTAATACCCAACTCAAATTTTCTGTTGGTCCTCCTGAGTTTCATGAAGTGAAAAATCTCATGGGCAATCAATATATTATCTTGAATTTGTCGGCCTGCTACAAAAGCATTATGCATATGAGAAATTAAATTGGGTAAGAAAGGTTTAAGTCGATTAGCAAGGATTTTAGATAGTACCTTATAAGAGAAGTTACAAAGGCTGATAGGCCTAAATTGTGTCAGAGTCTCCAGATTCGGCACCTTAGGAAGTAGAACAATCTATGTGGAGTTTAACTTTTTAGGGCTAGCCTCCCCATTCATAAAGTCCTTGGCAATTTCTTTGACCTCCTGTGAAATCACATTCCAATAACTTTGATAAAATATCCCTTGGAAGCCGCCGGTCCCGGTGCCTTCAAACCATGGTCTAAAATATCCATAATATCCTGATATTTCCATCGAAATTTCCGTGTTTTTGGACTACCGATATTTTTTTGGACTACCGATATTTCCGATATCATCGATATTTTAGACCTTGCTAAGTCACTCATGTATCTTACCATGCAATGTATAAAGTGTAAAATATTGTACTAATCATTATATATAAATGATTATGGTGTGTTTAAACTTCTTTCATTAATCACTACATATTTTCTACACTTACAATGTTTGCCAGCTCGCTATATAATCAATTTAAATCAGTTATATCTATCATGCAATGCATTTCCTTCCAATTGTTTGTGATAAACTAATAGATAATTGACTAAATAAACATCCTGCAAAGTTTCAATAAAAATTTTCAAGTTTTTCTTACAATTTCCGTGGTTTTTATTCAATTTTTATCAATATCGATAATATTTCGATATTTCTATTGAAATTTCCGTATTTTTGGACTACCGATATTTCCGATATCATCGATATTTAATACCTTGCTTCAAACTCCCCATTTGAAATACCGCATCCTCCACTTCCCTATCACAAATCGGCCGAATAAGAGAAAGATTCATCTCCGGAGTTACTTTTCTATCAACACAATCAAGGAGATTCCCCCATTCCCCTTGCACCATCAGAAGTAAAGAAGGCCTTGTAATGCTCTTCAACAGTTTTCCTGATTAAATGAACTTTTTCTACCCACTCACCATTATCATCCAGAAGCTACACAATCTTGTTTGCCCTCCTTCGCTGCATCGTTGATTGGTGAAAGATGTATTAGCATCACCCCATTGCAGCCATTTGATCCTTGACCTCTGTTTCCAGTAACTCTCTTCTTGCTCCTAAAGTCTATCAAGCTGTAAAGAAGCATCATGAATCTGTTCAATATTCTCCTTCCAGTTGCTGTTGAAGTTGGTATAGAATCCAAGAGGGTTTCCTAGCTGAGATAGGAGTTCTAATTGTAATAGGTATGGGAAACTTGGACGCAAGTTTCAGATAGGTTTAGGATTCCAACTCAGTTTAGGATTAGGTTTGTAATTAGGATAAAAGAACCTTAACGTTAGGGTGTGTGTAGATGAGAGTATAGTGTGAGAGATTTATGTGGCAAGGAAACTATTTGTGTGAGTGTGAGTTTTCTTGTAATACTTTATTAAATCAATAAAGTGAGCTTCCATTGTTCATGTTTGGGTGATTGTTTTGGTTTGATCGAAGAGTAAGTTACAACAAGTGGTATCAGAGCCATAGGTTGCGTGGTCAGATCAAAACAATGTCAAAAACTGAAAGTGGAGATGATAGGGGTACTGAGGTAACCAAAACTTCGGTGCAAAGTGCTAGATTTGAGATCGAAAAATTTATTGGGACCAATAACTTCGCTATGTGGCAGTGCGAAGTTAAGGATGTACTGATTCAACAAGGTTTACTGGCTGTGCTAGGAGATATGCCTATGATGATGAAGAAGGAGGAATGGCAGCGGCTAAATGCACACGCATGTTCCACGATTAGGCTATGTCTTGGAAAAGCACAAAAATATGGTGTGATGAACATCTCATCAGCCAAAGAACTATGGGATACATTGGAGTCGAAGTACTTGAAGAAGAGTGCAGAAAATAGACTTTATCTTAAGAGTAAACTGTATCGCTTCCAGTACAAGGAAGGAACCAAGATGATTGATCATCTTGAAGAGTTTAACAAGATGGTTGCTGAACTACTGAACCTGGAAGAGGCGATCAAGGATGAAGATAAAGCGTTGATTCTGATGAATTCCTTACCTAAATCCTACGAGTCGTTTGTTACGACATGGATTTATGGTAGAGAAACTATTAAGTTTGATGAGATCTCAAGTGCAGTGATGAATCATGAAGTTCGAAATCTAGATAGACAAGAGAGGAACAATTCCGAAGCACAAATGGTAAGGGGAAGATCAAAGGACAGAAAATCTGCAACGAAGAAGAAAGGCAAGTCATGCTCGAGAGGTGCCTCAAGCAACATGAGGTTTTTGGATAAAGATGAGTGCGCCTTCTGTCATGAGAAAGGGCACTGGAAAAAGGATTGTCCAAAAATCAAAGCTAAAAGACAAGGAGAAAAAATATGAAGATTCAGAAGCAAATGTTGTTGAAGCTAACGATGAAGATTTCGTCTGTGCCCTAACAACATCAGAAGGTATCGACTATATGAATCAATGGGTGCTTGATACGGGATGCACGCATCATATGACCTCTCAACGTCATTGGCTTTCTTCTTTCAAAACCCTCACTGGAACGGTGTATATGGGGGATGATAACCCATGTGCAACGAAAAGAATTGGCAATGTTAGGATCAAACACCATGATGGTGTAGTCCGAGAGCTACAAGGGGTAAGATATGTCCCAGATCTTAAGAAGAATTTAATCTCGTTAGGCAAATTCTATTCGGAAAAACAGACATTGAAAGTAGCCAGATGAGCATTAGTGATAATGAAAGCACCTAGAAAGGGTTTGCTCTATTTGTTAGAAGGCATCACTATTGAATCTCAGATAGCTATGGTGGCAGCGAGTGATCAATCAGATACATCTTCTCTATGGCATATGAGGCTAGGGCATGTGGGAAACAAGGCATTGCAAGGATTGATTAAACAAGGGGTCCTAGATGGAGCCAAAAGTGGGAAAATCAATTTTTGTGAACACTGCATTCTTGGCAAACAAACAAAGGTAAGATTTGGCACTGCAATACATCAAACTGAGGGTATCCTGGATTATGTACACTCGGATGTCTGGGGACCTACGAAGAATGAATCTCTAGGAGGAAAGAGATGGTTTGTGTCATTCATTGATGATTATTCACGTAGAGCATGGATTTATATGATGAAGCACAAACATGAGGTGCTGGATATTTTCTTAGAATGGAAAAACATAGTCGAAAGGAAGACCGGCAAAAGTTGAAAGTCTTAAGAAGTGATAATGGGGGAGAATATACGTATGATCCCTTCTTTGAAATCTGCAAGCAGGAAGGTATAACACGACATTTCAGTGTTAGGGAAACTCCCCAACAGAACGGAGTTGCAAAACGGTTAAATCGAACACTATTAGAAAAGGTCAGATGTATGCTGTCACAAGCAAAACTGCAAAAACGTTTTTGGGCAGAAGCATTGAGTTATGCATGTCACATTTTAAATCGTCTTCCTTATTCAGCCTTAAACGGAAAGACTCCAATGGAAGTATGGTCAGGCAAAATAGCTCAAGACTATGAAAGACTAAGGGTATTCGGATGTGATGCTTATTCCCATGTGAAAGAGAATAAACTGGACCCGAGAGCAAGGAAAGCTATCTTTTTAGGGTTTAATAGTGGCGTTAAGGGATTCAGATTGTGGAGTACAGAACTCAAGAAGGTTGTAATAAGCAGAAATGTGACGTTTAATGAAACCCATATGAAACTGAGAGAAGATAGAAAGGTTGTTCATGAGGTGGAGCTATCAAAGGAACAAACTGAACAATCAAGTATCGAAGATAAAATCGAAAATGAAGAACAAAACTGTGTCGATCAAGAAGAAGAGCAAGAAGAAGACAATATGGTTGATGATAAAGAATAATGTATTGCCCAGAGAAAAGGAAAAAGAGAGGTTGTGCTTCCTGCTAAATTCAAATAGTGTTTCATGTATGGCATACGCATTGCCAGTAATCGAAACAGATATTCCTACAAATTTTACAGAAGCAGCAAGTAGTGAAGAAGCAAAGAATTGGCATGAAGCTATGGATAATGAAATGTTGTCACTGAAGAAGAACAAAACTTGGGATCTGGTGGAGCTACCTAAGGGAAGGAAGGCCATTGGATGCAAACGGGTATATGCAAAGAAAGATGGAATAAATAATGCAAGTCCAGTAAGATTTAAAGCCAGATTGGTAGCTAAAGGCTACGCTCAGAATGAAGGAATAGATTATAATGAAATCTTCTCTCCTGTGGTAAAACATTCATCCATTCGAATTCTACTTGCACTAGTGGCGCAGTTTGATCTTGAGTTAGTACAAATGGACGTAAAAACTGCTTTTCTGCATGGAAATCTGTCTGAAGAAATTTACATAAGTCAACCTGAAGGATACGAAGAGAAAGGAAAGGAGAATCTAGTCTGCAAGCTCAACAAATCCCTATATGGTTTAAAGCAATCACCGAGGCAATGGTACTTGAGATTCGATAAGGTTATGAAGGATTTTGGCTACACGATGAGCCAATACGATCATTGCGTGTATCACAAGAAAGCAAGGGGAGGTACATATGTCTATTTACTGATTTATGTGGATGATATGCTGATTACCTCCAGTGATAAGATAGAGATCTCAAAGCTCAAAACTCAGATGCAAAATGAGTTTGAGATGAAAGATCTCGGCGAAGCAAAGAAGATTTTGGGGATGGAAATCACACGGGACAGAAAGAAAGGGCTGGTATGTTTAGTGCAGAAACAATATTTGGAAAAGTTGCTACACAAGTTTGGCATTCTTGATGAAACCAAACCTGTAAGTACACCTCTAGCCCCTCATTTTATGTTGAGCACGCAGCTATGCCCTAAGAGTGATAAAGAAAGAACTAAGATGAAGGATGTTCCTTATTCCAGTTTGGTTGGAGGGTTGATGTATGCCATGGTGTGTAATCGGCCTGATATTGCTCATGCAGTTGGATTAGTGAGTAGGTTTATGCATAATCCTGGTAAAATGCATTGGGAAGCTGCTAAATGGATACTAAGATATTTGCATGGAACAAGGAACACTGGAATCTGTTTTGAGCGAAATGATAGAGGAATCGGGAAGTTCTCTACTGGATATGTGGATTCTGATTTTGCTAGTGACTTAGACAAACGAAGATATACCACAGGGTATGTGTTTACCATGGCGAATGGTCCTATATGTTGGAGGTCAATACTACAACCAATCGTTGCTCTATCAACCACAGAAGCTGAATATATGGCAATGGCTGAAGCTATTAAGGAGGCTATTTGGACACTTGGTTTAATAGCAGATTTGGGAGTAGAGCAGCGCAAGATGGACGTGCATTGTGATAGTCAAAGTGCCATTTACTTGGCAAAGTATCAAGTGCATCATGCAAGGACCAAACATATAGATGTGAGATATCATTTCGTTCAGGAGATTATAGCTGAAGGTGAAATTCTTGTAAAGAAGATTGCTTCGGCTGATAATCCTACAGACATGTTAACAAAGGTAGTTGGTGCATCAAAATTCAAACATTGTCTGGATTTGGTGCATGTGAGAAAAGTTTAATACTTGGAAGTGGTGGAGCAGTGGAAGATGAAGTCTCTAGATGGATTTCTTACCAAGGTGGAGTTTGTTGAAGTTGGTATAGAATCCGAGAGGGTTTCCTAGCTGAGATAGGAGTTCTAATTGTAATAGGTATGGGAAACTTGGTCGCAAGTTTCAGATAGGTTTAGGATTCCAACTCAGTTTAGGATTAGGTTTGTAACTAGGATAAAAGAACCTTAACCTTAGGGTGTGTGTAGATGAGAGTATAGTGTGAGAGATTTATGTGGCAAGGAAACTATTTGTGTGAGTGTGAGTTTTCTTGTAATACTTTATTAAATCAATAAAGTGAGCTTCCATTGTTCATGTTTGGGTGATTGTTTTGGTTTGATCGAAGAGTAAGTTACAACAGTTGCCTTGAAGATCTCCTAAGTGTTTCATTAACACCTCAATATGCTCCTTCCTCTGTCTAAACTTTCGCTTACTCCATTCCTTCAACCTAGCTTGACATAGATTAAGTTTCTTTTGCCATCTCATTAACGAATCTCCTTCATACACTTCCTCCCAACTCTTTGTTATAATATCTCTACAGAGAAGACACGATTAAGCAGCAATACAATCACTTTGTAGCACATTACAAAAAAAAATTGGTGGTTCCTCAAAACTAATAAGAATCCCAAAAAAAAAAAAAAACAAAGCTATTCTATGTGACACTGGATTGGCAGAACGCCGTCAATAGAGCGGAGCTACAACTTGATGTATCTGTGATTGGATTGAGAGCGAAAGCATCAGGCTTGATAGAGAAATTCCTGGGTGTGCTTGGTTAGTTGTAAGATTTGGGTTTTAGTTGCTTAAAGGTTCGTTTGGATGTGCTTTTAAAATGACTGAAAGCGCTTTTGGTGAAAATGTTTTTGATACCAATCCTTAATAAAAATTCAAGTGAATTCTAGAAAAGCACTTTAAGTGCTTCCTGCAAGAAGCACATATATGGTGCTTCTTTCAAAAAACACTTAAGTGGCTTTGAAACCCAAAATCAATTTAACAAAAAAATGCTTTCAGATATTTTAAAAGTACATCCAAACGAGTTATAATTTGTTTGGGTTTACCATTTTGATATATGTGGCAAGTGACTCTTTACTACAATGATAGAAAGGTGTTGAGTCTTTATTGATGGTGTGGATTATAATTCTATTGGTGGCTAGTCTAACACTTAATATAACAAAATCTATAATTTGATAAGAT